CACACCCACCCCCCATCATCATCATCGTGCTGCTGTCAAACACAATGGTTTCAAATGCGTGGCGGCCCTCACTCTGATGTCTTATCGTCAAAAGTGGTCCCCCTCTGAAAATTAATGTATAGTTAAAATGTCATCATGATCATCCATGATTAGCATATTTCAGAAGGTCTCTCCACATCATCATTATCCCTCATTAGGATTCAATCCACCCAGCACCTGCACAGGACCCGATGTCATCGCTTCATCATCTGCGTGGTTGAACATCTCGTTTTGCAATGGTGCCCAAGGCATCAATCGACATACACAGGAAACAAACATCATGACACATATAGATATATAACTGTTCAATCAACTGTTGCAACATAGGCAGAACGCCCCAAGCGAGGGAGTTGGAACCTCGGACGGATATCGTTGGGAGCAGCAGCCCACGTTGCGCTGTATTCACGCACACACACACGCATGCACACATACACACCTGGTAAGATGAAGCAATCACCTCGAGTCGAGTAAGAGACTACTGCACACACATATATGCCAGAAGTGCAAATGCAGCGTGGTGTGATGTTGTAAATGACTGGCAGGAACAAACGTGCCACGGAATGATGAAAAGAACGCAGTTGGAAGTGGGTAAGTGGCCAGAGCAAGGGGATTAGTGGGGTGCTCCTCATCCCCTTGTCTCATACGGAGCTGATAATAATTGGCCAATATCAAAAATAAATGAGAAAACTCAAATAGGGTGGGATGAGGCAATTACACCGAGTTAGTTCGGGCACTGCTGAGAGGAGGCCGAGTCGGTCTGTCTGGGAACTGACTGTAAAACAATGGACTCTCTTGAGAGGGGATTTGCGGTGCGCGTGGGCCATGGGAGCTGAGAGGAGGTGAAAATGAGCGTCCCAACGAGACTTAAGCAAATGTGCTCGGCACGCAGCGGGTCTCACATGGGACAACGTGCAAAGGCACGCCGCTCGCAGTGGAGAGGACGGGCTGGCGGCAGGAAGTAAAGACCACTGGGAGCTCACACAGAGAGAGAGAGAGGGGGGGAGCCACGGATCATTTTTGGTGGCAAATTGGGAAGGCAGCACGGGGGGCAGAGGAGCCGGGTGCAGGAGGCAGCAGAATACAGCAATGTCCCATTTGCCATTGCTTCCTTCAGAGAAGGATTTCACCAGCTTTATGTTAAGATGCAGTTTCTCAATAGTGATCTGAAGCTTTCGTGACTGCAGGAATTATTCTTTGGTTCTTTCGGTAAAGTCACGTAGAAAGAAAATAAATTAAATAATAGAACACGACGTTTCGATTGCAACACAAGCAATCGTCATCAGGTAGAAAACAAACCTAGTAAACTTAGAAATATAATGCAATACAACGCAGAGAGTCGGCCAAAACAAAAGTCAACACCCTACCTGGTTCATTACATTCTTCCAAAGATTGCTAAATTTGAGAGACAAACCACAGACATGGAGACGCATAGACAGACACACAAGCAGAGAGAGACAACACAGAGACACACAGAGAGAGACACACACTCTCTGTGTGTCTACATTGAGGGAAAAAAGTATTTGATCCCCTGCTGATTTTGTACGTTTGCCCACTGACAAAGAAATGATCAGTCTATCATTTTAATGGTAGGTTTATTTGAACAGTGAGAGACAGAATAACAACAAAAAATCCAGAAAAACGCATGTCAAAAATGTTATAAATTGATTTGCATTTTAAGGAGGCAAATAAGTATTTGACCCCTCTGGAAAACATTACTTTGTACTTGGTGGCAAAACCCTTGTTTGCAATCACAGAGGTCAGACGTTTCTCGTAGTTGGCCACCAGGTTTGCACACATCTCAGGAGGGATTTTGTCCCACTCCTCTTTGCAAATCTTCTCCAAGTCATTAAGGTTTCGAGGCTGACGTTTGGCAACTCGAACCTTCAGCTCCTTCCACAGATTTTCTATGGGATTAAGGTCTGGAGACTGGCTAGGCCACTCCAGGACCTTAATGTGCTTCTTCTTGAGCCACTCCTTTGTTGCCTTGGCCGTGTGGTCATTGTTATGCTGGAATACCCATCCATGACTCATTTTCAATGCCCTGGCTGAGGGACGGAGGTTCTCACCCAAGATTTGACGGTACATGGCCCCGTCCATCGTCCCTTTGATGCGGTGAAGTTGTCCTGTCCCCTTAGCAGAAAAAACACCCCCAAAGCATAATGTTTCCACCTCCATGTTTGACGGTGGGGATGGTGTTCTTGGGGTCATAGGCAGTATTCCTCCTCCTCCAAACACGGCGAGTTGAGTTGATACCAAAGAGCTCCATTTTGGTCTCATTTGACCACAACACTTTCACCCAGTTGTCCTCTGAATCATTCAGATGTTCATTGGCAAACTTCAGACGGGCATGTATATGTGCTTTCTTGAGCAGGGGGACCTTGCGGGCGCTGGAGGATTTCAGTCCTTCACGGCATAATGTGTTACCAATTGTTTTCTTGGTGACTATGGTCCCAGCTGCCTTGAGATCATTGACAAGATCCTCCCGTGTAGTTCTGGGCTGATTCCTCACCGTTCTCATGATCATTGCAACTCCACGAGGTGAGATCTTGCATGGAGCCCCAGGCCGAGGGAGATTGACGGAAATTTTGTGTTTCTTACATTTGCGAATAATCGCACCAACTGTTGTCACCTTCTCACCAAGCTGCTTGGCAATGGTCTTGCAGCCCATTCCAGCCTTGTGTACAGTGAGGGAAAAAAGTATTTGATCCCCTGCTGACTTTGTACGTTTGCCCACTGACAAATGAATGGTCAGTCTATAATTTTAATGGTAGGTTTATTTGAACAGTGAGAGACAGATTAACAACAAGAAAATCCAGAAAAACGCATGTCAAAAATGTTATAAATTGATTTGCATTTTAATGAGGGAAATAAGTATTTGACCCCTTTGGAAAACATGACTTAGTACTTGGTGGCAAAACCCTTGTTGCCCGTCTGAAGTTTGCCAATGAACATCTGAATGATTCAGAGGACAACTGGGTGAACGTGTTGTAGTCAGATGAGACCAAAATGGAGCTCTTTGGCATCAACTAAACTCGCCGTGTTTGGAGGAGGAGGAATGCTGCCTATGACCCCAAGAACACCATCCCCACCGTCAAACATGGAGGTGGAAACATTATGCTTTCGGGGTGTTTTTCTGATTAGGGGACAGGACAACTTCACCGCATCAAAGGGACGATGGACGGGACCATGTACCGTCAAATCTTGGGTGAGAACCTCTTTCCCTCAGCCAGGGTATTGAAAATGGGTCGTGGATGGGTATTCCAGCATGACAATGACCTAAAACATACGGCCAAGGCAACAAAGGAGTGGCTCAAGAAGAAGCACATTAAGGTCCTGGAGTGGCCTAGCCAGTCTCCAGACCTTAATCCCATAGAAAATCTGTGGAGGGAGCTAAAGGTTCGAGTTGCCAAACGTCAGCCTCGAAACCTTAATGACTTGGAGAAGATCTACAAAGAGGAGTGGGGCAAAATCCCTCCTGAGATGTGTGCAAACCTGGTGGCCAACTACAAGAAACGTCTGACCTCTGTGATTGCCAACAAGGGTTTTACCGCCAAGTACTAAGTCATGTTTTGCAGAGGGGTCAAATACTTATTTGCTTCCTTAAAATGCAAATCAATTTATAACATTTTTGACATGCGTTTTTCTGGATTTTTTTGTTGTTATTCTGTCTCTCACTGTTCAAATAAACCTACTATTAAAATTATAGACTGATCATTTCTTTGTCAGTGGGCAAACGTACAAAATCAGCAGGGGATCAAATACTTTTTTCCCTCACTGTATGTGTGTGTCTCTGTGTTGTATTGCATTATATTTCTAAGTTTACTAGGTTTGTTTTCTACCTGATGACGATTGCTTGTGTTGCAATCGAAACGTATGCTATTATTTAATTAATTTCTCAATAATGTTTACTCGAGGTAAATATTAAGTGAGATGTGTTAATATTTCATGGGGGTGGAGCAGTGGTGCAGCGGTTACCACACTGCGCTCTTACCCTGAGCTTAATTCCTGTCATGCCACTTGTGTTTTTCTTACACTCATGAACTGCGGCATTCGCTATATACACAAACACTTTTCCTATAACTCATAATCTGATAACCTTTAAAATATTACCCACGTGAAATTATCTTGATTTCGTCTCAAATGCTCTCAGAATGCTATTGCTGGGCATCTTCACAACAACTCCCCTCCCTGCAGCGATGGCGAGACCTCGGTCTAGACGCCTGACGAGGGCCGGCACTGCGGCTTTCTCATCGCCAATGCTCGCTCGCCGTACCAGTCTAGCAATGGGGAAGTTCAGGCCTGGCTCCTTCGCCGATTGCTCTTGGCGATCACAACCACACTCTGCACCTCGTCACCACGAACGCAGTTTTCACCGCGTCACCGCTCAGCATACCCGTGGACAAACAACAAAATTGTGCAGACTCTTTGCCGAGCACAGGCTCAATGGTCCAAAATTTCGAAGCAGCTAGCAAAAAAAAGTTGTGAATAGATAAGAGAGTGAACATGTTTACTGAATTGAGCAAGGGTATTGTTAGAGCTTTGGAAAGGGGGTGATGAAGCAATGCAAGGGGAAGAAACAGAAAGAGAAGCATTGTGACCTCTGTGTGGTGGGTGAGTGGTGAGTGAAGAGTGAAGGGTGAATGAGTGAGTGAGTGCATCTGGTGTTGTGATCTGCAGTGTGGTGGCTGAACACCGTGTGGATGAGATGAAACAGTCAGTGTATGGTCGACCGAGTCCTCAACATGAGTGAAGGAATCAACGATAATGAAAGCTCACGGGGACGGTAACAGTGGTGATAATGACAGAGTGATGAGGCGGCGACTCATTGCCGACGAGTAAGCAAGTGGCTGGAACAAATCGGTGAGCGCCGGATCACAAATCAATAAATTAAACTGACTGGAAACTGTGGTGCTGTGTACTGAGCAATGCACATGCGGCTGCTGCAAGCGACACACACGTACCAAGGGGAAGCGTACGGCTGGGCGGAGAGCTGAGGGTGGTGGGCAGGGGCGGTGGCTTGCGTAGGAGGCTGGCGCTGCTGCACTTGAACATGTGCAGTGGTGGGGAGGATGCTGCATTGTCGGGGGACCTGGAACCCTCACCAGATTTGGGTTTGGCCGAGAGGTTTAAGGGCTGAGATGAGTCTTCCTGTAGAACAACAACACACGAACGACGGCATGGCTCATACCACGAAATACAGCATTTCATTTGTAGCAGCAGCATCAACAGTGGAACGTGCTAATTCTAAGAGCACACGGAATATAATGCCTATGAACGCACACTGCAACTTAATTGATTGCAGCTATAATGTCAGTCATTATCGATGATGATTTGTACATCATCACTGATGTGTCCAACTTGAGGCATGACGAGGATTTCAGCTCTTGTGTAGAGGACTTGTGGAAGTTGTAATTACGCTCGTGTACCCAGGAAAACCGAGTCTCAAAGACTCTCTTTTAGCAGAGTGCAGCCAAGTTATTTTTTTACAGGAGGGGCCAATATTGCTGCGTATCATCCCAACTGAGTAATTTGCAGGTAATATTTCGGCATTGGGATGCTTGGCCTATAATGGTCAGATAGGGGTTTTTCTTGTTGGTAGCTATGGGAGGGAAACCATACAGAACAGGGGGAGAAAAATGCATACTCCATTCAGAAAGGCAACCCAAGTCATGAATTAAGCCCAGGCCCTTATTGCTGTGAGGCACAAGTGTTACCACTGCCGCCACCCTGCGGGCCAATATAATAACCTCCAAATTCAGCAATGACGATGAGCGTGACAGTAAGTGGCTATGCGATACAATGTTGGCAAGCAGAGGAACCTTGACCGAATCTGAAAAGCCCTGGTATATAGGCACGTATGAATACAATGCATGTCGTTTTGAAGGTTATGCTAAATATACCAAAAATAACACAAATCCCACTTCAGAGGAAAACACATGATCAACAACTGTGATTAGTGGTGTTAATTCTGGTTTATTAATGAAGAGTTGTTAGCCAAAAATCCAGTTAATGGATAAACAATGTAATTTGCTTTGCAGTACATTGACAATGCAGGCATATGGCGTGAAGGGGTGTGTGATCCTGCTCAAGCAAACGGTGGTCATCACGCCCAGAGCCACGCTCCCAGCTGGATTTAACCTGTGGTCACTCTCCACTAAGCAATAGCCATTCACCCTGCTCGGGTTACAGCTGGCCAGGTGCCAGCGGCAGTGCGGCTGGCTCCCAATCGGAAGGTTTCCAGTTCGAATACTGGTTGCGTGTCAACTCAGCCCATCTTCCCTCCAGGGTCGATAAGACGAGCACCAGTTTGTGGGGAAGATCAATAGTGGTTCACACTGCCACAGACTTGACGAATTTCCACCACTCGCTTAGGGCTGTAAACGGGAGATGAGCACCGCCTCAATGCTCATTTGAGCAGCAGGAAATCACTTTGACTGTTGACAAGGATTAAATGCCGAGTTGACACACAGCCAGGACTTGGCAACTTTACGAATGCACGTGTCAAGCAACCACAGCGGCACCTGGCTGAGTACAAACACAAGGCCGTGTAAGTAGTTGAAAAACAGTTTATTTATTTCAGATGCATAAATTTAAAACATTAATTCCAAACATTTTAGTTCTCAAGTATGAGTACTGCCTATGCTCCAGACACACTGGCAAAAATGTTTTAACTAAATTCAGAAACACGTGCCCTCACGGTGGGCGGGCCTGCGCAGGTGTGGTGAGCTACCTTGGGTTTGGGAGGCGGGCTGCCCTTGGGCTTGTCGTGGAGTTGCGGGTGCCCAGACGGAGAGCCGGGCAGGCCCGACGGCGGCACCCCGTGCAGCTTGGCTCCCGGGGAGAGCTGCAGGGCTGCCAACTGGGCCGCGTACAACTGCTGTGTGAGGGACAGATGGATGTCAGGGGTTCAGCGTGATAATGAAGCATTGTTCTTGGATGGCGTTCACTGGCACGTCAATACGCAGCACATTGCTGCACTTTTCTGGGGATAGCTGATGGCTCAGCAGCAGCAGCAGGTGAAGCAGCCAGCTCGGGGTTAGAGGGGCAGCCTCAAGGGAGGGGATAGGCAGCTAGAAGATCCTGGGGGCCCCGGGGCGTGATGCTGCAGGTTGATCTCAGTGTTTGTAAATGCAAGTTTTGTATCTTATTTTATTTGTGTAGGTCTTGATTTAGTATTTAAGTGAAAAAATAAATAGCGAAATCAAGCCCCACGTGAGATGCATTATAGCTGTGAGATAACCTCAGGACTCCACCTTAGTCCAAAGCAGATGCTGCAGGTGGACGGGAGATTATTTACATAATTTATACGTCTTTCCGACATTCCAAAACAACAAACGCGCCGGAACATCACACTCTCCCCAAGAATTGCTCATGTGCTGGACTGCGCAAGAAGAGTTTACAGCAGTCATTGACAATGCAGACGGTGACAGAGGGTCACAGTGCGAGGGGAGGGCTGATGTCCCTTTGACCCATCCAAGTTCATTCTCGTTTAGCAAGTGAATCACTGCTATTGTGCCACCCACCACACAACACATTTCCTGCCACCACCTACCCCCCATCCCCCATTCTGAGAGGAGCCACAGCGCAGCCTGGAAAATAAAGTGGGTGATGTGTGCCCTGCCCGTGCAGCAGAGAAGCGCCGGCATCACTGCTCGGTGTGACCGACGAGGCTGTGCATGGCTACGTGTCAGTGTGTCGGTGTGTGTGCTCCACCTTGCACCAGGGCAGTGCCCACAGCAGATTTACAACACATGTGTACTCTGTGTCTCTTGGTGACCAATAGCGGATAAGAGACGTTGAACACATGTACACCGTGTATCTCACTGTGACCAATAGCGGATAAGAGGAGTTTAGTCCACGTACATCATGTATCTCACGTTGACTAATAGCGGATAAGAGGAGTTACAAAATTAAAAGAGGATCTTCCTGCTATCGCTTTGTTTTTTTTTTTATAAAGAATGGATGTCGTGTGTTTAATTACATTATCACGTAACACATGCGCATTGAGTAAATGCCACTTTACAAATGCAGTGTAAGACGTTATATTGCTATAATCAGATACAATCTTTAATTTGTTGGTCACCAACGATGTGTAGCGATATACCAAACTCCGCTGTGTGCACTCACGCATCGTTCTGCTTTGTGGGCACGTGTGGTGTATGGTATGTGCATTCAGATCCACTATAAATACAACCGTACAATCTATGTAATCAATCACATTTTAAGGGGTTATTTTAAATAATGACCATTTACATTTTTCCCATTCTCATGAAAGCGATTTCACCATGTGGTTCCAGTTTTAAAATCCAATCTTCAATTATCAAAAACACAACAACACAAAAGTTGTAAACATTTTTCTCTATGTACACTACATTTGGAAACGTTGCATTGCATCCATGAGTCTTTTCCCACTCACATTGCCGTTTCTCAAAAAATATCTTAGTAAATGTTTACACAAGTGCCACGCGAAGTAAGGCCCAGGTGAACGATGCATTAGAGTGCCGCGTGAGCAGAATTTGAGTTTGCTGCCACTCAATCTGCCCCGCATGGATGATGCAGGAGTAGCAGCATTCACCGCTTCACCAGCCGCAGCAATGGCTCTGGCTTGCACCATGCTCAGTGCAATCTCAGGTATAACAACCTCAGTCCTGACAAAGCACTGCTACAAAGGCACCGTTCTAAGGTGCGTGAGGATAAATTGTTAAATTAATTATTATAAATTGGGATGGTCTTACCATCTACAATAGTTCACAACCACCACCACACACTGCCGGCCACCAATAGCACAACCACACTCCAAACCACCATCACCACCACCACATGATCCAAGCCACCACCACCACACACTCCAAGCCACCACCACCACCACACTTCAAGCCACCACCATCTCCAAGCGAACAACAAAAACAACCGCCATTCGCCACTAAGTGGTGGTGATGTCACCACGGCGCTTGTGCCAGACTATGTGCATGTTAAGGCCACGTGAAGTGTCAAACGCCCCCTGGCAGGAGGTCACGGTGCAGACCCAGGTGCCATGGGTCGAACTGAGATGACTGGCTGATGCGCCACCTGTGCCCCCTACTATGCCAATTTGATGTGTTTTAGCCGCCCGGCGCTTCGCTCGTTGTTGTGAGAGTCGCTCCTCTGCCCTACGTTGTTGCTGGAGGGCGACTGCCTCCAACTGCCCAGTAGCGTCATTCATGAGCCTCTTCCACAGAGTCCGATCTTGACATCGGCAAGTCCACTCAGCTCCACATCTTCTTGTACCACATCACTCCATCTCTTCTCTAGCCCGTGCCGCGCCCATTTAGCTCCCTTGATCTGGCCGAACAAAAGCTGTTCAGGCATGCGGTGGGTGGGCATGTGGGCTACATGACCCAGCCAACGCAGCCTTGCCTGCCGGAGGAGCTCACCGATGGGACTTTGTCTAGATCTTTCAAGGATTTGTGAGCTCTTCACACAATCCAGCCTGGTTAAACCCAGGATAGTTCGTAGGCAGACCAGCCTAAATGTTTCTAACCGGCGAAGATGTTCCATTAGGGGGATCCACATTTCGCAAGCATAGAGAAGGAAGGCAATGACCGTGGCCGAGAAGACCCGAAGCTTTGTGTGGAGTGACAGCGTTCCGCAGCCGATGAAAAGATAATGCCACTCGACTGATTTGGAGTGAGACCTCTGCTGTCAAACCAGAGCCAGTCATAAGCACACTGCCCAGGTAAGGAAAACTCCACACTCTCTCCACAATTGCCCCATCACCAATTGGGAGTTGTGGGTGTGGAGTGTCTGATGGGACAAAATACCCAGGCAGGTGCTTAGTTTTGGTGGGGCTGATGGTAAGGCCCCACCTCTTAGTGATACGCTCCAGGTTCAGCAGCAGCACCTCCAACTCCTCCTCTGAGTGAGCAGCAATCTTCAGACCTCCAAGCCACCATCACTACCACACACTCCAATTCACCACCACATACACTACCAGCCACCACCACCAGACACTCCAAGCCACCACACGACAAGCCACCACCACCACCTCTAAGCCACCACCACACAAGCCACCATCACCAAATAAACTACAAGCGACCACCCTCAACACACACCAGGCCACCGCATGACAAGGCACCACCACCTCTAAGAGACCACCACCACACTCTAAGTCATCACCACCACCACACGCCAAGCCACCAAGCGATTACCTCTGCAAGTTTTAAAATAAAACAACCAAACCCAATGTTGAACGCACTATGTATTTCACGAGAAAAGTATGAAAATAAAAGGTAAGTTTGCCGTATGATTATACTCCTCTTGTTGTCTCTGTAAACCGTTGGCCAGTGGTTTCTTCTGCATATTACTTTCTAGTATAGATTATTTTTACACTGAAAGCATTGGCTTTGAAAAAAACCCAACAACTTATAATATACATTTACGATTTATTATAAAAAAAAATACGCAAACTAAAACGGCCATCACATTTCAAATTCTCTTAAATTCGGCCAAATAAGGCATCTACTTTCATTTCCATCTCAGTCTCTTCATACGTACGGATTGCCATATGAAACACAGCCCGTTGGCTGGCACGGAGCACGGCAATAATCATTCAGTCTTTAAATATACACCTTATGGCAATGAGACAAAATAGCATCTGTGGTAACTTGCGTGTAATGAGAAGAGGGCGACAGCAATCGCCTACAGCGATCCTTGTAAGGTAACTTTCCCACACTGATATTGCTGCGTGTTGTTTGTACTACCTCAGATCAAACATCCGTCTTCTCTCGGCATTAATCAACATCGACAAGACAAATCGTTTCTGTGTTATTGTTTTCCATATTTCATGGTCCTTTTCATTTTCGAATGCCCGGCCCTGGCCCATACCAGCCTGACCCCCTCATCCTCTCCCCATCGTCGCAAGAACAACAACAAAAAACGTCCAACGCTCAGCATAGGCTGAAGGAACAGCCAAGCGTTTTCGAGTCTCCGACTCGCTCTTAAAAGGCACAGTTTTTGACGAGCGCTAACTGCTTGTAGCGCTCTTTCTACCCACAATACCACCCGCTCACAACATCCCGCACCACAGATTAGCACGGTCGGTTACGTACGGTGCGAAAAAAGTTAAACATACATGCATACACTGCGGTAAATGTCATCTCTTCACCGGTGTTTTTATATCGGGTAGGGTCGGGTGAGAGGTTGATGTGGGGCAAAAGGCTTTTTCTGTCTTGGTGCGAACGGAAATGACATCACCAGTGATGATCAGGGTGATCATCACTGGTGATGTCACTGCTGCTGCTCTAGAGGGGGGCACCAGTCTGGAGGAGGGCACCTGCTGCCGCTACTGCCGCTGCCGCTGGTTACTAAAGGTCCACAGATGAACCACGCGTGGCAAGTATCTTCAACTGGCTCTACGGCTGCCCAGGCTCAATTCAATTGGCTAAGGAGTACAGTAAAACCTTGGATTGCGAGTAACTTGGTCTGCGAGTGTTTTGCAAGACGAGCAACAATTTAAAATAAATATTCATTTGATAAAACGAGCGAGGTCTTGCAATACGAGTAGTACGTCTACGCTTTGTCTGCCGAGCATCACGTGATCACAACTGATATACGAGTGCTTTGATATACGAGTGCTTTGGATTACAAATACGTGTCCGGAACGAATTATGCTCGCAATCCAAGGTTTTACTGTAGTTTGTTGGCCTTCTCCCGCACCTCTGATTAGCACGGTTGGTTTCGTACGGTGTGAAAGAAGTTCAACATACGTACGTACACATCAAAGTGAATGGCCAGAACAGCCAGCAACTCTCCAATTGGCTGCCGAGTAGAAGGTGGGTGCCGAGGAAACGCAAGGAGGCAGTGACGTTGGCACGGGGCACTCTTTTTCTTCTACTCTCA